AGCGATTTTAATCGCCGCGATCGGGCGATAAAAATCGCTCGTGTGCCCCTAGCATTAGACGGACTTTAAAAAATTAAAAGAAGAAATGGTGGGGGCATCTCGAACGTCAGGAGGTAAATTATTCCACTCAGATGCCGCCGCACACCGAAAAGATTTTCGTACCATTTCAGTGCGTGCACGGGGCGGATACAAACGCGCATCATCTGCACACACACTACGCGTCCGTCTGGAGCTCACTTCATGTTAAAAGTAACAAGTGCCGCAGAGCGACAGCGCTCAACTGACATATACTGTAGCCGGGTATTCTTCTGATAAACTCACTGGCAACCGAATCAAGTGCGCCCTCCCGCCACCGCATTGATAGGCTTTGCTATACCGGTAGTACAGTAATAAAGATATAGCTGTGTAACTTTAATGACTTCACTATATTAATGTTATCATGGATATGCGTCGAGCGAGAGCGTAGTGGTGGTGGTAGGGGGAGGGTGGGGGAAGGGTGGGGGGAGGGGCGGGTAGAGGGGGCTCCAATAGCAAAAGCAGTTCAGTCCTTTGTTAACAGTCAACAAATCCATGTTTAACCCTCCTCTTGAGGGTCAAAAGGTTATCAGACACTTACTCTTCGCACGCCAGTGGAAAGTAGATTTCACGGTCCTTCCAATAAAGTGATAAAAATGGTAGATCAGCGCTGAAACAAAAAGGTTTTGCACTCGGTCCGTTAGACCATGTCCTCAAAAAATGTCTGATTTCTGACCTTTCCCCCACTGCCCTTTGACCTGTGACCTCCAATTTCGCGCTGGTGATGGGTTTCCTCCCCATCACACTATACATCGAATATTAAGAGCGTAGGTCAAGCCGTTGAGATTTGTGCCGCAATTCCGTATTTTCTCCTATACCTTAAGTTAAGGGGGAAATATTCCCCCTCCATTGACACATCTTGACCTTTGACCCCCAAAATCGACATCCCGAGTCCTTTTCGCGATCCCCTCCCCCCCCCCTCCGACGTCACGAATATCAAGATCGTACGTCGCGCGATTAAGATTTGTGTCCGTAACCGTTGACGCACGGACGGATGGACGGACATTCATGCGATTCTACAAGCTGCGTCTGACTTCGTCAGCTGAGCTACAAAAACCGTCAAGATAGGCTGGTGCCTGCTTACGTAAAATTTTGTAAGTTAAAAGAGATCGATGCCGATGGTAATAAAAACGTTGGCGAACAGTCATAAAACCTAGCTGCGAAAAGATTTCTTCAGTGCGGGCGTCTGAAGGTCTACGAATGTTTAGAATCAACCGCGCAAAACGTTTCTGCAGGTTAAAAACTTTGTCAATATAACTCTTCGCGGCATTACCCCACACAACAATACCATAATCAATATCAGGCAAAACAAAAGCAAAGTAAAACTTCAGGCAAGAATCATGGTCGAGAAATTTCCTGATCCGCCAAAACAGTGCCAGCTTTTTGGAGATCTTGGCACACACGTTCATTATGTGTTCTTCAAACGTGAGATTATCATCAACATGAATACCTAAAATTTTCTCACTCGCCGCGGTGGGAAGAACAGAGCCACCATAGACAGTATGGAGTACCGCGGATGGGAGTGTAGAACGCTTCTGTCTGGAAGTGAACAGCATGGTTTTGGTCTTCTGACACGACTGACATGACTACACCGACATGACTGTACGTGTGTCATCGCCTCCTCCCTTTAACCCTGGAATTACTCCCCACCCTCCCCATAGTTGCCCACCCGCTCTCACGCCGCGCTCGCCATTGGATGAAAATGACACCAGTTGGGTGATGATATCATGATAGTTTCCTAGTTGCAACTACTGTTTTCGAGATTGGGCGATTTACTTTCATGCCGGGTCACGCGCCAGCCTCTGAATACGTTGACCGCTGACCGCA